ATGATGGTTTGAGACATTTTGTCCAAAAATCGGGTTCCTTAAGTTAACTGATTCGCCGGTTCTCAGATTTTACCCTGTCGAACCGGAATTCGGTCATTTGGCCCAGGTTTTCAATTTTTCTGGATTTAGAAATTAGATCGAACCACTTCATCGTCGGGTCACGGTCTAACCAATCGACCCGGCCAATCCGGTCCAATTCTAACAACATTGGTCACAACTCACACATATCAGCCCTGCCTCACCATACCAGCTCACGCATCACCACTTGCATCAATTTAGAACGTATTGTCTCACCGCAATGTTGATGCGGTTCGGTGTAGCTCTCGCAAGCCCAAACTCAATTCACGATATTTGGAGGATGGGTAGAGTACTTAGAGAGAGCTTCATGTTGCTGGAGTAGTTAGTTTATCTTCTATTCTATCTATTTTTATTTATCTTTTGTTTAATTCTATAGATATCGAATATGCATGACGTGCGTGAGATTGAAACACTAACATATATTCAAGCAATACCAAAATTAGTATTAGGTTTTAACTGCACGCATTTTTTACACAAGCATGTAGAATGCGTCCAAAACCTAATGCCGATTGGGAATTCGGCGACATGGTTTGTGATAGTTAGAAAAAAAATCAAATGTAAATTATGTGTGTAGTACTATATATATGCGGTCTTGCAGCAGCAGAAGTGTGAGATATTATCATAATCCCAATTATCCATTTTCTGGCAGTAGTGGATATCGAGGATTTGGGTAATATCACCGTAATCATGAAACATCTGCACATACCGATTCATCTTATGCATCAAATGACCTTAATAATACGGATACTTTGAGTCACATTTACCCAGTGATTCTCAAAGACATAATCTTGAAAACTTTGAACTAACTCGATATTCTACTTGGTAATGCAAGATTGTTGTAATTGTTGTAATATTTATGTTTTAATTTTTAATAACTTTTTTTACATTATTGTATTGTAATGTTGTTATAAATTCTATTTTTAAGCATTTTAGTTAAAATTTGTTCGTTACAGTCGCGACGCGGCCGCGATGTTGCAATGGAACTGGAACGATCCACGACAATGCACCGCTCCATTCCGGCAAATCTCCGACAATCTCATCACCGGTAGCAAAAAAAACCCAAACAAATTAAACAAGCCCACAAAACAAAACAAACTTGAGAATATGTACCATATTTGATTTTACACAACAATTGGATTTATAAATCCACACAAGGGAATAATCAAAAGCATGCTTCAAAAGATATAACTAATTAACCTCCGCAGCCACCACAGCCGCCGCAACCACCACCACCACCGCCGCCACCGTCGGCACCACCGCAGCAACATCCCTGTGGAACATCGCCGCCACCACCCGTTGACTTTCCATTCTTCTTATTATTCTTACTCATCCTCCTCTTCTTATCATACGTAACATAATACGCAGGCGGCAAAGGCGGCGGGCACGGCTTAGCCTTGGCCGCCTTTCTCTCTTGCCGGCGTCTCTTAGTCATACAACAATAACAGCAAAACAACATTGTCTTTAACTAATTTAACGCCTTTTCTATGAATTTTGACAAATGAAAAGTGGAGGGAATTTTATTACAGAATTTATTTATTTATATATATAGATGGATACATGTGTTTTGTTTGTTTGGTCATCTCCAGAGCGTTACATGTACTAGCTTTGTATTATTATTGTATTTGATTGGGAAATTTCCGTTCATTTTTCTAAGTCAACTTAAATAAAATAAAAATAGTGCCAAATTGATCATTATTAAAAAAAATTGACCTTTGTATTATTTGTATATGATCAGGAAATTTCAGTTGATCTCTCTAAGTAAACTTAAATAAAAAAAAATTCCAAATCTATTATTATTATTATTATTATTATTATTATTATTATTATTATTATTATTATTATTATTATTTATTTTTATTTATATATTATTATATATTTTTTGTTTATCCAATTATTATTATTATTATTATTATTATTATTATTATTATTATTATTATTATTATTATTATTATAATATAAGATTCGAAAATAAGATTAAAGTTAATCAATTTACGGTATTTAATTGAATGCCACGTGTTATTTTGTTAATGAATATTAGGGTGGTTGAATTTGGAACTCACAATTAATATTTCTTTCTTCGGAATGCATTTTTTCATCTAAAGTGAAACATTAAAATACTAATTAAATTTAATTATTTTATTGGAATATAATTTTTTTTTTCAATTTTGAGCATTAATATATTGGTTGGTCGTTGGGTTCATTTTAATACTAAATTTTAATTCTCCATTAGAGTCGTTACAATATTATAGTTGACTTGTATGATTCATGAATGATACAAGATATCTTTTGTGTGACGCACGACATCGTATCATACTTATCTTTCTAGAATATTTAATTGGGTTTCGTCTAAACAAAATTCTTCAATTAATATTCTAATTTTACATCATTAATTTACACATAATAATACACTGTACTGTACTTATATTTATATGTACTTAGTAGATAGTTGTTTGTTGCAAAATCATCACTGTATTTCACCGTGTGTAGCGTCTTATAGAAACAATTTACTATGATTTTTGTATTAAGTATTGGAATTGCATCTAATATTTAAAGCCACAATCTAGAGCGACTCCATCGAGATTGACACGAATTCTTACATTTTTTTATCTCGTGTTTTCACGTGAAGGAAACAACCCAACGAGAGCTCAAGACTCTATGTCGATTAAGTTTGAGTCGATTAAGTTCAACTTTCGTTATAGGGAGACCAATGGGGTGGCGGACTTTTCGGCTAAACTTAGATATTTATTCATTCTAGTTGCTTTACATTTTGATTTCCTCTTCATCAAGTCAGATAACTACATCAAATATATAAGCAAATAAGCTTAATTGATTTGTTTTTGTACAAGACAAATTTGTACGAAAAGTCAAGTTACTTGAGCTCGATTTCTATTCAACTCGGTCAAAACTCGAACGTTCGAGTTTGAGTCGATTCATTTATACCCCCTATGTTTTAATCTAGTACATGTGACTCGAAAAGAATTAAACAATAATATAAATAATTATAGACGTCCGGAAATAAATGATTACAAAACGAAACAACGTCGTGGAAACGGGATTAATCGATATCGCCGCCACTATATAAATTTTAGATTTAGAATGTATTATTGTCTTTTATTAAAATAATCTTATAGCAAAACCCAAACAAATTAAATAAACCCACAAAAACAATTTTTAACAACAGACTAATTACATCAAACTTCAAAGAGGGTAATTTGAGATATAATTATCCGCCGCCGCCACCACCACAGCCTCCGCCTCCACCATCAGCTCCACCACCATCAGCCCCACCGCCACTGCAACAACATGTCACGAGAATCTCACCGCAGCTACTAACAACCTGGGCATCTTTATCACTCTTCTTACTCTTCTTACTCTTCTTATTATTCTTCTTACTCTTCTTATCGTTCGCAGGCGGCAAAGGCGGCGGCTGAGCCTTGGCCGCCTTTCGCGCCTGCCGGCGTTTCTTGGACTTACAACAACAACAACAACAAAACCACATTGTTTTACGCTGCGTTAATTCGTAAAATGTGGACAAATTAAATGAAATGTGGATGGAATTAATTTCGTTACATAATTTTATTTATATAGATAGAACTACAAAAGATTTATTAGCTTTAATTTGTATTTGATCAGGAAATTTCAGTTGATTTTTCTAAGTCAAAGGTCAATAAAATATTTGGTTAAATCAATCAATCATGTTTAGTCTTTGATTCTTTTCTGACACTGTTTCGTGTTCTAGTTCAATAAGAGATGATTGTTTCTTTCTCCATTGAAGTTGCAAGGAATATTAAAGGTTATTTCTATGATACATCTGATGAAGGTTTTACTGGATGGATTTGTATTGTCGATCTGCACACACCCATATGGGTGTGTGCGTGTTTGTGTGCTTGTGAATAGTAAGAATCTATCGGGTATAGAGATGAAAGTTGGAATGAAATTTCTAATTTTCGCCGATTCCGGTTCGAAAACTTCCAATTATGGAACAACTTTTTTCATTCCAATTTCCAAAATTCCAATTTTCGATATTTTTGGATTAGGATTGAAATTATAGAAAAAATAATTGGAATTTTCGATCCGATTTAATATGCAAAATTAATTCGGAAAATTATTATTACCTTGTTCCATGTTGGAGAGGAAAAGTATTTCATTTGCTATTTTTCACGTAAAAACGACATAATTTCTATTTCTATCATATATAAGTTTTGACTTTTATCATTTTGATTGAGGTTTAGAATTTTATGTGGTATTTGAAAATAGGTGTCTATAAAAAAAAAAGTGTTTATGGCTATTGGAATTATTATAGTTATTTGGTAATTACGGCCATTCTCTGAGTTATGGTCAAATTATGAAAACTCCACTCATATTTGAGTAATTAATTACAGTCATCCCCTCAACTATATATTATCTTTCGAAAAAACTCCTCCAGAGGTAAATTTAGGGATGTTAATCGATAAAATCGAACTGAAATTTTGGTACGCCAACATTTCATACCGTTTACCGAACTAAATATACGATTTGGTTCGGTAAATAACCGAATTACATAAATTTTATGTAAAAATATTTACAAGGAGGGGGGTGGCTGTAATTACCCAAACAAGAGGGGTTTTGTCGTAATTTGACCATACCTCAGGGGTGGCCGTAATTTACCCTATTTATTTTAAAAAAAAAATTAAAACATTAAAATTTATCATATGAGTAGTTTTAGTTTTATGATTTTATGAAGGTTGTGGGGGTAAGATTGTAATTTCGCAAGAAACATTACAAAACTAATGTCTTTTTTTGTAAGTTTGACCAAAAAATATAGGGAGGTATTTGGTAGATTTTATAATTGAGGGGTGTGTTTGCGACACACCCCAGTAATTTAGGGGTGCAAAGTGAACTATGCCCTAAAATGCTCGAATACATTTAAGAGGAAAAAAAGTTAGAAAGAGCATTCCAATATGGCTCAATTTATTTGATTCTTATTTGACCACACATTTCCTTAGGCAAAATCAAAAGAGTGGATAACAAAACCAGGAGGAGAAGAAAAGAAGCCAAAGGCCAAGAAATGCCACTACTGAAACTTCTCCACCACCACCACAGTCTATCTCCGGCAGTGAAACATCTCACTCCTCCACATCATCTCCGATCAAATCTTTTCCCTCCGCCAGCGGCGTTACAGCCGAAGAATGGTTGTTTTATGAGTTCGAGAAGCCGCCTGAGAAACCAGCGGCATAGATCATGTGCACCTTCAATTTCAGCCTCATCTGCACCACTCGATTTGACAGAGGACAATATCAAACAGGTTTTAGCCGATGCCAAAACCGAGGCGAGTTTTCTTCTCTTCTCTCTTCTGCAACTGCAATTTTTGCTGCATGATAATAATAATGTCGCGAATTTAGATTACGAATTTGTATTTCAATTCTCGTTGCAGTTGGCGCAACTCTTCGACACTTCAGTTAACATAACCGGTGAGTTTAGTTATACAGTGCGATAAATTAATCAGCTTCCCTGCATGAAAGAATTAATTCGATAAGAGTATTTCCGTTTATTGAACGAACAGGAAAAGTAGAACTTGTCGAACTAGACGGACCGTATGTAACGATCAGCCTCAAAGGCCGGTTTTGGCATACGCGTTCCATGGTTTTGGCGAGGCTCGGTAATTACTTGAAGCAGAGAATCCCGGTAAGTTTGATGTTATTTATTTATTTTACATATCTTTATAGCGTATATATTAACATACATATACAATGTTAGGAAATCTTGGAGGTGGATGTTGAAGATGAGAAGCAGTTGGATGATAGCCCAGAAAACTTTTGAAAGTTCATTACTATTTATTCGTCGAGGCTCGGATGGAGATCTCGATTGCACGGTCTTATTGTTAAATCGATTCCAATTCCTAAATTTAATTTTAATTAATTTCAAATCACACTAATGTTCTCTCGTAATCTCTAATTCGGGCAATACACATTATTCATGTCGATGTCCGTGGATGAATTCTACGCACAATAGGGAAAGTTTTACAGCTGCAATAAGATTCTCAAGATAACATAGAACACATCCATCGTTCCGAATCAAGATTCTTTCTCCCTCTCTCTCTCATAAACTCACTAAGTTAATCGCAAGTCACAACTTGCTTCAGTAAATATTTCAATAAGCACCAAAAAATTTGAAGATAATATACCGTTTTTTTATTCGACTCGAGCCCACGATGTATCACCCGGCAACAAGAACAAGACTGTGATCAAAACCTGCAACGGCTTGCAAAACTTCATAGCCCTCTAAATACTGATTCGCCATAGGTTCGACTTCATCGACAGAGCTACCCAATCCTAGGCGTCCGTTTCTACCGCAACCCCAAGACCAAACCTCTCTCTTACCCGTTACAGCTATCGAATGTACTCTCCCTCCAGAAACAGAAATCGGCATCTCACCGTCAAGACATTCTACTACAAGGGGAATATTCTCCGGACCTTCTCTCCCAAGTTGAGAATTCTGATTCCATCCCCACGTAACAACACTTAGTCCGTCTAGTGGAATATTCTTGCAAATTGCGAAAGAGTGACCGAGTCCAGATGCTATACTGATAGGCGAGAGGTGACTCGTATCGACAGCGTGTAAACCCAAATCTTGTTTTGCTCTGCCTAATTGGCCGTACACATTGCTGCCTCCACTTAGAAGAGTGCCGTCACCTGCAAAAAAAAAATTTGAAAAAATAACTAAATTTAACTCGATTATCATATTTTATAGGGTAAATTACAACCACCCCTGAGATATGGTCAATTTACGAAAAAACCCCTCTTGTTTGGATAATTACATCTACTCCTCAACTATGATTTTTTTCTTACACATTTACCCATATGGTGTCAAATTCAACATAATCATCTAGATTTCGTGGAATGTGCTCCAGTTTGTACTCGCTTTGTGTAAAAATACAGTTTCTGATGCACCACAATCATATATATACAAGCCAAAAAACACATATTATGATCATCATGCTTCAAAATGTAGAGTTCGAATGGGATAAAATGGGTATAAAAGTGATAGTATTCCATATAATCTTGAAGATTCCAGTAAATTTAAAACCGCAAGAGTGAACGTGTAAGAAGATTTATGGTTGAGGGGTAGTTGTAATTAACCAAACATGAGGGGTTTTTTTGTAATTTGACCATACCTCAGAAGGGTGACCGTAATTTATCCTATTTTATTATTATTTTAGCAATGACGACGGAAATGAAATTGACTTACTGCATAACACTAACGAATGATCGAGCCCACATGCCACATCCACAACTTCGATATCGCACAATTCTTCGATTAAAGTTGGTTGCCATATGATTGGCATATCTTTTTCCTTTTCTATTGCTTCCAACACTAATTTTTCTGCCGATTCAATCATCGTATTCGAATTTGACGATTTTAACTTACCAGCAAACGAATCAAGTGGAGAGGCCTCGGATAAATTCCCAATCTTTCCTAACCTCCCATCGGCGTAATAGCCCCAGCCGAATAATTTCCCGTCTTTAGTCAGAGCAAGAGCATGCCCCCAACCTAGCGAAACCTGAAAGATTGTAAACAACGAAAAACGCAAGTTTATTCGATCGGCAAAATGACTTCACAATTTATGCATCATTTTAACAATTATTCTACCTTAAAGATGATATGAGGACCACCTTAACTATGTCTTGCCCACGAAGTGCATCGACTTTCGTCGGTAAAATAGCTTCGGTGATGTCTTTTCCGAGGCCTAATTGCCCACGTCTCGATTTTCCCCATACCCACAAAGTGCCGTCGTCTCCAATTGCAGCAGATATAACACCAGATGCAAATGCACTGATAATCTTCACTTGATTCAATCCTTCTACTTTTTGGGGTTTATTCCATGTTTCTCTAAATCAAATAGGAAAAATTGAAAAAAATAATTTATAAACTAAATTCAGGTCGTGTAATACAAATCTAGACTTGCCGCCATTAAAATTCGGAGAAGTTGAGATTCGATTCATAGATAAGGGTTAGGTTAAAAAAAAAACTCGAAATTCAGCAAACACAAAATATTTATGATTTGCAAAATCAAACATGGAAAAAGGGGAAAACCTAGGAGAAAGGTGGGGGCGGCCGAGCTGTGATTCGCTATTGCGTCCCCAAGACCAGAGATGGCCGCCGGAGGTGACGGCGAGGGAGTGGTAGTGGCCGGCGGCGACGCTGGAAACGTCGGGCGGAAGGGATGGGATGGGAGTGGGTTCGTAGGCGTCGGAGGCGACGCCAATTGTGGAATCGGCGAGGCCGAGGGCACCTTGGGAGCCGTCGCCGAAGCTCATCACCGTCGTATTGGCAGAGAACCACCGCCGGCTCAGCCCGATTAGGCGGAGGCCCGGTGGCGATCTGTTACCTGTGTTGAGGAATCGTAGCATTATGCGGTTTTCTTTGCGATTGGTCAGCGTCTCACCGAAAAAAGCTACTGAACTAGTGAGCTACATTATTTAAACCAAAAGGATTATGTGTTGATATTACGAGCACGAACAAAGTAGGGTCATCTGCAAAAATTTGTATCTAGAGAGGGATTAAGTGCTATTTACCCATTATTTTACTATGAGATATGCATTTGGGCATTATTTGCATTTATTTATTACATCGTTTAACTTTAAATACATGGTCTAATATTCTATTCGTAGGCGAAATGAGGTGATTAAAAGTTCACCGGAAGATCATTTCGCCCGCGCTTGTAGAATATTAAATTAAGCGTTCACAATCTAGATGGATATGGACGATCTATTGGAATAACGATTGTAGCACAAACTTAAGTGATCTATGTAAGGTCCATCAAAGATAAAAATATCTACTAAATTTTAGGGTAAATATCCTTTGAGCTCCTATGGTTACAAGCTTTTGCAGATGGTCCTCTTGTACTCGTAATATCAGCACATAATTCCCTTGTGGTTGATGCGGATAACTTCCTTTAGTTTTTCCGTCAAAATTAATTGTGTGACGTCAAAATACCATATTTTGCAGATGACCCCCTTATACTTACATTTTCCCTTTATTTTTTGCAAATGACCCCTTGAAGTTTAACACGTGCGGTTAAGTTTGACGAAAAAACTAAGGAACGCTACCTCTACAACTACATGAGGGTTATGTGCTGATAGTATAAGTATAAGGGGTAATCAGCAAAATTTTATAACCACAGGAGAGTTAAGTCTATTTACCCTAAATTTTCATATACTCTAATTTCGTGTCTCAAACACTAACTTAACTCAATTTCACAAACTAAGCAATTAACCACGGTTGCCTCACTACCCCAATTTAGAATTTATTTAATTTTTTTTACTTGAAAAAAGATATCCAATTGCTGTCGATGGTCAACGGTGTTGATTTTTTTTTTTTTTTTGTCGTTTACATTTTTCCGATCAACACATAAATTTTATTGTGTAGCAGAATAATATTACTATGTTGACCCGTCAGCACTCTCAAATCATATAAAAATATTACTATTATTATGTCACAAAATAATATTACTATTTAATACAATAATATTATTGTGTTAATCGATCAACACACAAAAATAAAATATTGTAAAAAATAAATTAACATTGATGTCTGATGCAATAATATTACTACGTTGACCGCCGATCAACAACACCGAATAATTCAAAAAGAAGGGGTCACCGGTGGTGTATCGTTCTTTCAAGCGTGTGAGTCACGTGCGTTCAAGTCAAAACAAGAGAAAGCAACTCCACCTAAGCAGAGTTGAACTAAGAAGATTTGGATTGATGAAAATAGAATTCACAAGCAACTAACTGCTATTGGTGGATTCCATCCTTCTAGAAAGTGCGGGGCGGGGAAGTTTTATAAAAAAGAAACCCTAAAATGTAATGGAGAAATTGTAGGATCTTTGTTAAAAATATAAATTGTTTTAAAATTTGAGAGCTTGAGAAGTAATAAATTGTTGGCTATGTTGCATGGACACGGATTGGACACGGCGATACGCGGATACGGATACAGTGATACGGCATTTCCAAAAAACTAGGATACGGACATGGGGGATACGCGTACATATAAAAAATATAGGGGTATATTTATAAATAATAAAAATATAGGAGTACATTTATAAATTGTAAAAAATATGTATAAGTCGTCATCACATAAGAGAATCGCTCGCCCTTGTTGCTTGTGTTCTTGGTCGTCGTCGCATGCTAGACTTTTGGAGTTTTGGGTGGACTCACAAAGAAAACAGAGGAAATGTGTATTACAGAGAAAGAAAATGCGCATTTTTTTTTATTAGAGCTCTCTCTTAAAACGTAAGAGAAGTGTCCCAACTTTTTTAAAATTATGGACACTGTCCGACACGGGTGTCCAGGTGTCGGATGCAGGGACTCTTCACCTTCTAGAAGTATATGTGCAACATAGAATTTGTTGGTCGAGTCAAAAGTTTTAAATTTAAAAAAAAAAAAAGGGCAAATTACGGCTACCCCCTTGAGCTATGTTCAAATTACGAAAACCCCCCTCCTGTTTGGGTAATTACAGCCACCCCCCTCAACTATGTATTTATCTTACGCAAAGACCCCTCCATGGGTAAATTTAGGGATTTTAATTCGGTAAACCGGACCAAAATTTCGGTACGCTAACATTTCATACTGTTTACCGAACTAAATATACGATTTTGTTCGGTACATAACCGATTACATAAATTTTAC